AATGAACATTAAAATGACCAAGAATTTTCTTAATTCCAAGAATGACAGTATACAAGACTGACTTCCATTCCGAAATGGTTTCTATGCAAGACTGATGCTTGTCAATAGAAATTTCAGACAAAACCTAAAAGAAGATATCTTCAAACTGATGGGCCTATACATCCGTGGTCATTAACGCTGCCAGTCACCTGTGCACATTGAGTTGATGACAGCAGGTTGCACAAAGCCAACAAATTACATCGTTCTTCATCCTCAAGGCCATCAACGGTTAAAATTCTAAACTTTTCAGACTGATAATCGAAGCTCTGATATCCATGCAAATACCTCTGGTGAGGATACATGGATTGCTTTGGTTCTAGGCAAAGGATATAAATGCAGCAGCAGTCTGTGATGTGTTCCTTGGTTTGTATCTTTGGCCAGGCTTACTCAGTCGGTAGAGCGTCAGACTTAGAACTGAGAGGTATAGGGTTCGGTCATTCGCCTTTCTTCTTTCTGAGATTGATAAATGAATACCACTCTGTAGTAAAAAATAGAAGACCACACATTCTGCCTGTCACGCGTCTGCCATCGACTCTACCTTTAAACTAAGGTTCGTTTGGCTGATGGTATGGAAAGAAACACTAACGTCCCACAATTAACTTCGTGAAGAGAAGCGACCCGGAAGTGATTAAATCAGGAAAATATTGGGAAGACCGACATTAAACAGTTACAAGCATTCTTTTCTTTCCATACTTCGATTTCTTCACGTCTTTTTTCATCATAACTTCCATGGAGTAGATATTCGCACATCACACAGGATTTTTAAGCACAGAATTAAGGGTAGCTCACGACGCAAACGCCACTAAAGCTTTGAGAATGCTTAAGACAATAAAAACATTTTTGATCAAAAAATTGGATGGTACTCATTTTTTTTAGCCTTTCTCCACTGAAAATTCAGATATGCAACTGATTAAATCCCCAAAACTAAAAGCCTTGATGCAATATCAAATTATATAAGAAATAACTTATCACAGACCAGATTTCACGGCTAAATTCGCCATGCCCCTTGCTGTTAGTTGCCTCTAAGGAGAAATCTAGTCGTGGAGTAGTCATCCGTTATTTCATACACTCGGGCATACAACAACTTATAATGCCCATGCAGTAGCATATAAAAAAGGACCAACTATTCAAACAGCGTTCATGATAAGCACGTGGTAGTCCTAGCGAACAAAATGATTGGATGCATGTGGCACTGCATGTGCTCAAATACCATAGAGCTTTGCCCTGCTAAAATGCCTCCTGGCACCTAGGAGCCAGAGGCTGTGCAGTATGCGTGAAATCTGGTCTTGGAAAAATAATCCGTTATTTGACATACTCTAATGTACGATCAGCACATGTTTAAACGGCAATAATTGATTCATTGGCGTTAAATAATCAACTGTTTCACATATGACGAAGTTACCTTGTTTTTACCTTATAGTTTCATCAACTATGGACTTAAGGACTTCTGTTATTATTATGCTTTAGGTGCTGAATCAACAAAGACACACGAAAGAACATAAATTAAATCAAATTTACCCGTGAACTTCATCTTCTTGTTGTTGAGGCATAACGAAAGTCTTATTCTTGATCATGGACGACGTATCCATCGTTAGCTGCGCAGAGATCGTGCCAGCTGCGCAATTTTCCTAATCAAAAGCACGATTTATTACGCTGCGCGAAATTTAAATACGAACTTACTTCATTGCTGTTGCAGTGGCTTCCGCGTAAAGGAGTCGAGCAGCTAAAGATCAATTTATTACCTCCAAACAAAGTAGCCAAAAACAGATTTTACCGTAGAAAGTTCAGAAAATAATACAAGTCGAAAAGTCTAAAATAAGACATGTCGCTTTTCATAGTCGCAATGTTTCTCTCAGGATTGTTCCGCGTGCATACTTTATTACACAAATCACCGACATTCGGTTCGAAACGACGGTAATTTGCCTAATAAAGTGCATATTTGGAGCAATCACGTAAGAAACACGAAGACGAGTGACTTAATCTGCAGCATAAAAAAAGATAGTTCAATTTTCACATTTCGTTTCACCGCAGGTGGCTGAAAATGATTTATATCACCATTTACTAATCACTGAAGGGATTATTATTATTATGCCGGATGACCGGATGCAAGTAGCCCCTGTTGCAATTACTGCTGCTTCTTGAAGATTTTTTATCTCCCATTTTTGAAGCAAATGATAAAACATGGATATCACTTAACAGTGTCTATGTTCACGGTGTTCTCGTGGAAGAATACCAACTTTATTTAGTACTAATTATTACAAAACACAAATAGAAGGATATAAATAGGTACAACGATGCACAGGAATGCATAACCGTAAGGAGGACGCAGATTAAACGTGAGTTATATGCTTTATGCATGATTCTGTTTAATTCCTAAGTTAATCAATAAATCAGCGCATTCCTCTACCGTGACTGATTAGGCATCATCTAGAAAATGGTTGATTATTTTGAGAATGTAACTGGGTCGTGGAATGAACTAACGCTGATTATTATCTAGCAGAGAAGTGATCAACAATGTATGATACATTACTACATTATAACACGATATAAAGGGTAGTGATCAATCAATTATGATATTTCATCGAATAAATTTAGCAAATCCTTAATTCAACCATGCACACACTCAGCAGAGCGTAACTCCCAACTTATTCAAACAGTTAATTTAGAGTCAACTCCTCTGCATCAAGGTATTTATCTATAACGGATTTTGAAGAAAGGACACTGTTTAACTACGTTTCTAGTTGATTAGCATATGTCTATATCAAGCAGCTGAAGCTAAAGTTTGATCAATACACGATCAAGATATGTCATGAAAGATGCACCATGCTGAAGAGAGAAGCAGGTATCAGCATCTTTGCGAAAAGCATGCACCAAGAAATGTAAAGACGTATATTATGTCTGCATATATGATTATGCAAACGAACACTGTACATAATCTGTAACTTAATGAGTTCGTAATGTAGTTAACTCATTAGACATTCGACGATGTCACTGGAAGATCAATGAGAAACTCAAAGCGCTGGTCCAACTTGTGGCGTGATGGCAGAGTGCCTAAGATGTCGTTTCTGAACTTCGGAGGTGCCCGGATCGATATCTGTTTCAATCGCAAACTCCTTCGAAAAAGGAATTAACTTAACGTTTCTTCGTCCGAAAGATGGGTAGTGAGTCTCTCTGACTTGCGAAGAGAGCATATTATTCTGGTAGGGACATGCCAGAATCGACTAAATATACGGCCATACTGTCCGACACCAACACTCATTATGGTTCAATTTCACTCTGACCAACCTGATAGCTGACTGTCCACTGTGATAATCAGCACAGGTGTAACTCCGTTCTCGAAAATTATGCATTTATTCAAATGTTCTCTTGCATGCAGCAGAAGGGATCAATCAGTCACTCTCCAAGTCATAGCATGAATTCTCACTTAGTGTAGACCAGAAAATGACTTGTCATCGAGAGAGGTTACACAAACTGTTGAATTAAAACTAAACTTTTCTTAGGTAAATATGCTTCGCCCCTGTGAATTAGAGTTCACGTAAGTAAATAACATTGACATTTTAAGCTTCGTAAGACCTTAAGTAAATGTTAAACTTACTGAAAAATTTATGCTTTTTAAAAACTTTAAACCTGGCGAATTATTGACAAAGAACTTTAACAAACAAGGTTTTTACAACAAATTAGGCTTGAAACAATAATAAAACCGGCATTTGCAACCTCTGATATGTCAAACCACTTGCATATGAACCACTTTAGTTCCTGAAATACTGAACCATGAAATATGCATAACCTCGAAACGGCTCGCATAAGCCTGTAACACAACAAGAATGGAATATACCTCGCGGCATTATCCAACGAACCATTGCAGGAGGTGAACGAATCAAGCACCACAGTATTGTTCTAGACATAATTTATAAACCAATTACAACGTTTCATGCATAATTACCACTGTCTCCGAATTAAGTAAAGAATTTTCTGCCGGACGCTTCATAAATTAAACAATTCTGTTCCTGAAAGGCGAAAAAACAAACAGCAAGTACACGAAAATCAACGACACTCAAAAGCGCGCGTACGCACAAAGCGAGGCAATGAAGAACTCTGATTACAGTCTGCTTGCCTGCGGTTCGAATCTGAAAAATTCTTCGCGCTTCATCAAATTGCTGCTACCTCATCGTTTTTGCCAGATGTTTTGTCATCATCGACACCCTAAACCAAACAGAGGCTTTATCTATGAGCTTTTAAGACAACATGGTACTCTGATGTAATCATGCCAAAACGGGTGAAATGCGCGACAATGCTCTCCGACGCGAGCACAATTTCGGCTGCACTTCGCCTTAATTTGTTTGACTACTGTCTGATTAATACAGTCCGCACAAGTTGTAGCCCCTCACCTCAGTGATATGAATACGTTAATTTTTACAATTTTTTACGTCATCCTTTCAACATAAACTATATTTTTTAATTAATTTCTGAATTCCAACTCCACATAAAACTCCTTTCATATTGTAACACGATAAATGACAATTCCAGTAGCGGTTGACAAGTGTTGATTTCAAGCCAAGGTGTCGAAGAAGCTATTTTTTCGGTGGTAAAAAAGAAAATCGGGAAATAACTATTTGTTATTATTTTTCATCTCCATTTTAAAATAGATTTACCTTTTAAATTTTGCCTAGATAATTTAAGAGTGACCATTTTGACTTTGAAATAAGTGACGAACATATTATCTGCATATATACATAAAATTTGTGACTGAGCTGAGATATTCGCCATTATGCTTGCAATTCTTATTGTGCACGCTTACAACTGTTTTTGAAGTCATCGTGTAGTGGAATCACTCACATTCCCGGTGGACTACACTCATGCTTGACTTTCAGTTCACATTGTTGCGAGGGATGACACTTATACCTCAATATTATGTTTGCTATGCAGTAGTAGCAGCCTTAGATATAGGCATAAAAAATTACGTCGGCGCCTCTTTTCTTTGCTTGTCAGAACAAAGGCTTGTCTGAGTTATTTTACTAAATTACAGCTATTCGGAGCGTCCGAAGAACCTTTCACGATTTGCGGTGTCTGAAGGGTGATATTTACGGTGTCACAGTCTCGCGCATCATTTGGTATTCTGAGGGGTTGCGTGGCGCATTTTCAGACCTTATGATGATTAATAGCATCTGGTGATTCCATTCAAGCTCCTAATTGCTGAACGACAGTTCGTTCCGTGTCCGGAATTATAGGTGATAGCGGAAGTGATTCAAACATTTTCCAAGACCAAACTCTGCACGCCACCGCAGCTATGCAAGCAATGGAGCCGCAATTTCTTTTTAACCATCTAGTTTAAGTTAACATTTGTAAGAATTCTTCAGTGGTTTTTTTGATAAATACTCTAGTGAAAAGCGGCACAATGTACAAGATCACCAATCATCGTCCAATGCTCGACAGATTCTGATTCCACATGACGGGATTCATAAGCCTTGCGCTTCGTCAGTCGTGGTTCATTGCGGCTGACGACGACTAACAAATGTTGATGAATGCCGGTCCTGGATTGACGTTTTCACACTATTCGAAATTTCGGTAATTAGAAATTTACCGAGTCAGTACATAAAGACGTTCGACTTTTGCTATAAGTGCTAGGTTTCAACAGCAGTGTCAGCGGTAGTAAGAAGATTACCAAGAAATTGTTTGAGATAGTTTTGGTCTTGAATAGGAACGAAAATGACCTTGAGAAAGCGTATGAACGGATCCCACGCAACAGTCTGTAGACATGCCTTCGTGCATACGGGATTAATGGTCAGCTGCTAAAAGTGCCGCGTCAGAGTTAATGGCGTTAAGTCGAAACCATTCAACGTTCGCACTGGTCTCCGCCAAGGCTGCGCTCTATCCCCTATCCTGTTTGTGTTGTACATGGATAGAATAGTCAGCAGCTGCCAAGGCGATAAGGGTATCGGTATAGGAGATGTTAAGTCGAGAAGGTTGCTGTTTGCAGACACCTT